GTTGCCTCCTAGTGTAGTCAAATGACAGGACAGACAGAAATGTTCACCATTACCAGATCTTCAGGTCCTTGTGCTACCTGCGCCATATTTAAAGCCCAGCTGCACACCATTTTAGACATCGCGACCCAGGAAGTAGCTCTCATAATGGTGTCCCACCATTATTGCTGAGGACATCTTCCGAGGAAGGAAAGCTGACACTCCACCTCACTGAAAGGGACATAAAAATGATGGTGCCACAGCCACTGGAAGTTGCTGATGTTCCTGGACTTGCTGACAAAGTTGTAATTGCTGTGTCCTTCTATGTTGTCTTCGAATATGAAGCAAGACCACAAGGATTGCAGCCACATTGGTGTCCATGTCAGATATGTGAACAAATAATCTGTGGAGAAGGTCAGAAAGATTACACAATTTTATTGAAGAAATTCTTGAAACCACACATCCATCACAATAAAGCTTCATGTTATGCCCTCACATTGTGTGACAAGCTGGTCAACGTCCTGCTTCCATAAAGAGCTCTGAGATATGTGACCTCATCCCAATATATGTTGCACATCCAAAGTTTCATATACTGAACACGATCCACCCCATGGACTGATGTCTCCACAGCTGTCTCCCTTGACCTCACTAAGGACTGCTCCCTTTTGATTTTCAGACATGGCCTTGAAGCATATGCAATGTGTTTGCGGCATAAGCTGCGGGCCTGTACTGAAGGTGTGATGTTTGATGTGGCCTGGTGCCATGTAGCAACATGTCCACCCCCTTGACTGATCAGTGTTCCTCGCCATTACAAACTGTGTGCCTCTCCTGCAGTGCTAAAAAGCAATGCAAGCCAAACAACTGAGCAGTGAAGATCCTGTGTGCCAATAAATCAATGTGGAATACATACAGGCTGACATTCACTCAAAGTAAGCACGCTATGAGTGAGTCCTAAGAAAGCAAACTGGTCACATGATGGAATCTGTGTGGCTGCATGAGATCTGTGTGTCCCTGTGTGCAAAGTGACCTGGCCAAAACATCAAGTCACAGGTGTCTTGGGTTTCGAAGCGAAGTATTGGAGGGCTGACCGGAAGGGTGAATTGATCTGAGAGTAGGCATGATGATGTGGTGAGGCTGGTGGTTTGCTGTTGCTGCTCTGCCGTGGATGAAGGATTGACGATTCTGGTAGCCATGAGGAGAGAATGTAGTGAGGACAGAATTGGATTATGGCTGGAGCAAGCAATCAGCGACTTGCAGTATCCATTCTGACTTGCATGTCACTGTTTGGTTTCTTGCGGAAGGAGAAGAGAGTTTTGGTGGGCTATTAAAGAAATGGAAATAAGGTAGTCGCTGCTCAATGGTAAGATTCTAAAGTCACCATTTAAAGGGGAAATTCGGAAAAAAGTTTCTCGATGTTCTGACATTTTCATTCTCGCTGTATTTTCCCAACTTTCTCGATGTTGCCCACATCACACCAATGAGGGAAAAATTCCACTCTATTTTTCAATCCTCAGTTGTTGTATGGACTGCTGCATATTTTTCAATCTCAATGCAAGCCTTTCAAAGGTTGGTATTAACACCTACATTAAATGGATAGGGATAGATTATGCCCAGATATAGCAGCTATCTGTTGGAGTCTGAAATGCCATTAATCTCACTGTTTAAGCGTACAATTCATTTTTAAAACTTAGGTCTATTACTTTCTAATCTTTTTGTCAAAGTGAAATCTGTGTCAAACATTATGGATTTCTATTATGAGTCATTGAATAGAAAATGAAACGGAATGCAGCCCCTGCTATCATGCCAGGCCAAAACAAATAGCATTTTTATTGGCCAATTCAAGGGAAGGTTGAGAAGAACAGAATATAATTTGACTGTGTGTTTTCATACTTTCCTCTTGGGGGAAGACCAACCTCCTACATGCGTGCACCTGATCAGTATTTATACATTAACTATTCTGCATATTATGTGTCACTGAAAAGCAGTTTCGGCTTGGTACTGATTCAAAAGCCGAGCATAATGATAAAGAAACTAGCTTGAGTTCAGGTTTCAGCAGCTGATGTGAGACCACCTCCACAAGGGTAACCCCATCACACAATCTTCACCCTGAAGTGCAGCTGCCTCCCTCAGGTTAATGATAGACATGCTTCTCACTGGAAGAAATGATGTTCAAAGTGCTGAGGACAATTTTACTTCTTCAGATGCACTCCAGCCAAGAGTACACTGTATACTGGCATTGAATTTAGGTTTGCTTTTTTAAAATGTCCTTTTGCAATGACTATACACCGATATGCAGAGATCTGATAGTATTAAGGCAACAATTAAAATAAGCACTGGTGCACACTGAAATTGAGAAAGTAATGAGTGAAGCACATACTAGTAGACACACATTTCTCAAAAAGATAGACACTGAAATTATGCTGAAAGCTTTATTCTTTTAATCTTTATTTTACTCTGTAACAAGTCAGGTAAAAATATCATTTCACAGGAAATATTTTAACTTTTTTAATTGGTGGGGTTTCAAGTTAGTGTTTCCAAACAAACAGGGTCATAAATGATTCTTCTCAATTAAAGTAATTTGCAAACATTTAAAAGCAGTTCCTTGTGGGCATTTCATGATTCAGTAAGCATAATTTTTTACTTGGAAAATAAAATACATACAGCTTATACACATAGTTAACTAAATAAATTGGGCTTAAATATAATTAAATACACATAATAAATTAATACAGATTATTTTGCTTTTTTGGTTAGAGTTACAGTTTACATGATGAAATGCTTGCTGAGTCTGATTGCAGATAGGAATGTTATGGTAGATTTCCCAAGAGTCTGCTGTTGACATGGCATCTGACTTGACAGAAGCATAAGTTGATAAATTAGGAAGAATATTGGTGTGCTAATTTGCAGTATACTTATTTGGTGGTCATTAATTTGAATTATCTTTCCAAACAGGACTTTTGTGAATTATGTGCGTACTTATCCAATTCACTGTTTTGCCAGTGTCACAATAGATCTGCCTTCTGCATTAAGACCTTGAGAACATTGGGCTAACTTTATTACTCTGTGGCCTTTGTGCAGGGCAGGGTGTTGCCTGTTGTCAAAGCATGTCACAATTGAACATGTGTTCTCCATGATCTCCGAATCATCAAAGATATTTGCTAAAATTATGGACGCATGTTGTTAGTGGGTAAAACTCAAGAACAGGGGCAGAAATTTGTAAAATTTCTTAATTCATTTCTTAATTCAAATTCATATTGCCATTATGTCATTATTATTGACTTCCAGCAGAATATATTGTTTTGGAAGAGAGACAATCCTGTTGCAATCTTTGACTAAACATTCGTCATTAAATTCTGGCTTGATGCAGCTTATCATTAGACATGGGTAGTGTTTCCTGTAAGAAAGTCCACCTTCTGCATTAGAATGAAGCTGTCAGTCTTTACGAGATTTTGGAGTTCCACTGATTAAACATAAGATGAGCCCTCAAGCTGAAACTGTTTGCAGCTGCATCTAATATTTATAACAATTGAAAGATTGGTCAATGTCTTTATCCGTTTGGACAGCAAGGACACCAGGATTACATATCAGATACAAGAGGCGTTACAACCACTGGCCTGCAACCCTTGCTTTTCCATTTGTTTGGAAAAGGAATGAATGGATGGATAATTGCAGATAGCACAGTCATTGGTTATCAACATACATTTCTGGTAAGCACTACTCACAATCAGTGATGGGAATAATGGAACCAGCCCTCTTATTTGCAAACATAAAGTAGTATAAATTATATTTTTCTTCTCTTAGTGAATTTTTGATACTGAATATGATGAAACAAAACTCTTTCTAATATAAATTAAATGTTGGAAAAGGCTCAGCAGATTGGGCAACATCTGTGAAGGAAAACAATAAGTTAACATAGGGGTATGGTACAGCATAGTTTGTTATTGGACTAGTGATCCATAAATCTATTTAATATCCCAGAGATGTGAGTTCAAACACACTTTAGAAGCTTTGGCTTTAAGTGAAGCTGCATCAGTGATGATTGCTATTGTCACAAAAAGCCAACCCGTTCACTAAGCTGTTTTTACCCAGTCTGATTTTAATATGATTCTACAGGGAGGTTTTGAGGTGCATGGTGCAGAACGCCTGTCTCTGAACCAGAAATTCTATGTTAAGATCTGACTGTCAGACGTGATTGCCACAGGAAGTACATTCATAACGTATTCAAACAGGTTGATTATCAGTCTATAAATCTTTCCAATACTCCTATAGCAAGACCAAAAATGGGAGAGTTTCCTGGCCAGCCAGAACTGTGTGGTAGCTGTAACACAACAGTCTCCCCATAGAAAAGACTCCATACGTAGGTTCCTGCATAGGCTATACTCTGTGGCACTGTCCTCCTCCTTTTAAGTGACTACTAATCGTCAGATGTGATTCCAGACCACAGTGATGTGGTTGACTCTTACCTAACCATATAACATAGCCTAGGAAGCTATTGCATTGAAGAAGATGGTACAACCCTATTTTCTCATGGCCATAAGAATGGGTAATAATTGCTCACCTTGCCAGCAATGTCGACATTCTGTGAAGGTGGTGACCTTATATTGGAACTCTTAAACATCTTAACTCTATTTTTTGTCTCTATAAATGCTACTTGAACTACTGATTCACCAAAAAGCCTACCAGGTGTTTAATAGGCACAAGACCTGATGAGCTTTCCAGTTCATGATGTTGGAATTGGGGGTGAAGGTGAATCCCACATGTCATGACACTTGGCATCACGTAGGAAACAACTAGAAGAATTTAAGCCATCAAATCTATTTCTCTTCACAGATGCTATCTGGCTTGCTGAGTATTTTCAACATTTTCTGCCTTTGTCTCTGCAGCAGTTTGCTGTTGCCCTTGCTGGCTTTTCAGATTAGAAAAATTCTAGTAGATAAGAGTTTTTGGTTCTAATGTCCAATGAATGATACTTGCTATTTTAAAGAATGTATCAACAGCAAGATTTTATGTATGACATAATTACATTACACCAGTAGACTTATGGCTTCTTCCAAGTTTTTCCTGCTTTCATTGCGGATCATTTCCCAGGCACATCTATTGTACCCCTAAAAAGAGGACAAGAATTAGTACCAAGAAAACATGTAAGATAGTCACAGAATTAATTGACCAATGTAAAAGCTGTTAATCATTAGAGGGCTTTTTTTGTTCAAGTTATGATAACTTAGACATATACCTTATTTTGTAGAAATGTTCTCAGTTTTCGGAAATATGTACGAATTCTTTTTCTCCCAAAAATTTTTAAACCTGACTGTCGTTCTCCTAAATCCTGTCTGAGTTCCTTTAGCTGCTGAAACAAAAGCATTGCAAATTCATCCAATCCATTCTTGTCCCACATAGTGGAACAGACATTTGTTCTGTAGATCTTGCTGGTATGGCGCAGTATTTGATAGAAGATCATAACTTTGTCCTCAGCCTGTGTAAAATGCACAATGTATTAGTGAGCCAATGGTAAGAAGCGTATGAGTGCTTCAAGCAAAGAACATAAATGCATTTAAGGAGAAGCTTGATAAGCACATAAGAAGAAAGAAATGGAAGTATATGATAAATTGAGATGAAGTAAGTTGGGAAGGAACTAATATGGAAGACAAACTTTTGTATAGATCTTCATTTAAAAAATTACTGTGGATGCTGCAAATCTGAAATAAGAACAACATATTTGGGAAATACTCAGCAAGTCAAGTAGCATCTGTGCAGAAAAACAGAATTAGTGCTTCAGGTCATGATTACCTTTCATCAGAGTTGAAAAGCCATTTAACTCAGCAACATTCATCCTGTTTCTCTCCCTAGATGCAAGTCTAACCTGTGGAATATTTCCAACTTTCATTGATTTGATTTTGGTTATCATTCAATGTACAATACAGGATATTAACTTGTAATTTTATTGGCTGGTCGTATATAAAACTCTTTTTAAGAAAACAGTTTTTCTAAATAAAGGATACTGACTTGAAGTTGCTGCCAGTTTGTACCTGTGGAGTCACATTCCATCCCATGAAGACACAAAGTCCATGGAGACCCCAACAGAAATAACGGCATCCCTGGATATGTAAACAAGTCCTTCCGATCTCATCAATGTGGAGATGGATCAGTCAGGAGTTAATAGCTGGGACAGTAAAAACATTAATCACCTCAGCTATTAGGCAATAGCTAAAGGGAAGCTACATGAGACATGAACCAGTCTTTAATATTTTTTGGAACATGCAACAAACATTGTTAGAGCTCTTGTGATACCACTTTTGTGTGGAGGATTTATTTGCATTTGAGCAGAGAGCACACAAGCAAACAATCTTTCTCTATTTCAGTACAACATACCAGCTAGGCTTTGAAGCCCATCTCGCTGAGAAAGAAAAGTGTGTCTATGATCTTACAGCAGACATAATTTTTACTGAAAGCTGTTGGAGTTCTACATCATTGATTTCCAGGAACAAAGGGGATTAGCAACCACAACTTCAAATGAACTTCTTCAGCTGATGAAATCTGTGGATACAACCAGTGCATTTGTACTGACTTTCCTTTTTATTAATCTACATTTTAATGTGGCCAAGTTTATCCTCTGTATTTTTTCCTAGTCCTTGCTTGGATTTTGAATGTGTGCGTATGTACACATTGGTGAGATATAGGCCATATTTTAACTTATTTTCATAGTTTTGATTGTTTTTTTTGCAATAAAACTAACTCTTGCTGAATTCAAGAACACCAGTTTGTCTTAGATCTTATAAACTATATAGTTAAGTACATACTGAATTAGCAATCCCATTTTAAATTCAAAAACCAGTTGTGATCAAATGACGGGTGGATGAGGGGAAAAAAAGTCATCCTTCCTCACCTGATCATAGTATTGGCATAGATCTTTTGGGCTAAATGGCCTGAATCTGCATTCTATGACTACACATGGTATAATCTTCTCACAGTTGTCAACTCCCCTACCCTCTCTAAATTTTCTCACCCTCTTCTGAAGTCACTGCCTCTTGCTAGATACAGCTCTACAGAAACTAACATGCCTAAAAGTGGCCACTGTTTAGATGTCTGAACCTTGATGAGTGTTCAAGAGTATCTGTTAGGGATGGGGCATGGTAGAGAGGGTAGATGTGGGGCATCACAACTGAGGCAAATCCAAATACATTTTTAGTAAGGCTCAGTGGATAGCAATTTGGAGCAGGACTTGAGCTTTATATTTTGCTCTCAGTTATAACTTAATGAATGATGAAAATAGTGAAAAAATTATGAATAATGATTTGTATGAAACAGAACAATGTAATCCATATTATATCAATTATACAAAGTTCATTGATTCAAAAACTTAATTTTTATGCAATTGTTCTATTAGTATTTTAAACATTATAATAATTCAGTATTAGAGAGATATATTCTAGATTAGGGAGAAATATTTTACACTCTTAAGACTAAACTTTTGACTTGGCCCAAGATGAAAGATGAAACTCTTGCAATTCTGCTGATGTTAGGACAATATGTAAAATGCTATTACCCAGCCTCAACACTCTACAGTAGGTGTAGCTTAATAGAAAAACAAAAAGCACAGTGTTGAATAACACGATGTGATTTTAACACAAATTGAACTATTTCACACAGAGAATCTATAAGAGTGGATGATTTCAGGAATTGGAACTATTGCACTGGTGCTTTAGGAATGCTTTGATGGGCTTCACAGGCCTGGTGAAAGCAATCGCAGTCCGCATCTAATTTAGACACTGTCACCAAATGTATTCCTTCTTTGAGTCATGGAGTTCGACCTTGTCAGAGGAGGCTCAAACTCGTTAATTCCCTTGTCTTTTCTGTTCCCTGCATTTATCATTGTGTTTAAATCACCTGACAATACCTTGTATTGTCTCCTACTCTGGTGAATTCATTCCCAGAAACTATAACTATAATACTGGTAAGACTTTTAATCTTTCCTTTAATGATTAATGATTTATTCATTTCTTTTCCAACTTTCTTTACGCCCTAAGCTCCAGGCCACATCGCTTCCTTTCAGCCTCCTAATATTGAAAAGTTTCTGGCCCATATGAAAGAATTAGTAAAGTTTGATTGTAGGTACCTGCATATCTATTATTCACTTTGGAACTCTCAAGCAACATACTTGAAATTAAAACTGCATCAGTTTCAATTTTGATTGATTCTACCTATTGTCGAAGGGGCAATGGCTCCTTCAAAGTTGGGTCGATTTCTTCGCTACCTCAGAAGCGCCATCTATCACGTATCAGTACAGACGGATGTAATAAGATCCTACTTCAGAGGACTATTTCAGAGACGAGTGAGGGAATTTGCACTGGTATCCTGGACAATATTTGAGTTTAACAGCACACTTTCCTACATTACAATCTTAAGAAGCGCTTAAGTAGTTGTAAATCGTTTTGGGATACCCTATAACACTACAAAAGACGCCCCTCTTCTGTTTTCTCAATCCCTGGATTGCATTCAAAATAATTACAGAAAAGCGCACTGATTACCTTTGCATTTTTTGCAATCTCCATCAGATCAAGGCTTTTGATCTGCATCCCCTGCTCTCGACAAAGAACTGGAAAGGCGCCCCCCTAAAACAGAGCAGAGATTGTGTTAAGGCATTAGACCCTGCGTAAGGAAGTTCAGCAGCATTGGATCCCATCCGTAAACTCACCATTGCATCCAGAATTTCCAAAATTTCGCTGGTGAAACGTCGGTGGAGTTCCAGCCTTATTGGATAGCTCTGGCTCAAGGTCCCAAGCAACAGGAACAATGGAAGAACAAATTGCCAAGTACAAGCCAACGCCATGCTCCACAGCGAATCTGACCTAAAGTGCCACAGTAAATTAAAAGAAAGTCCACATTCAGTATCGAGAAAATTAACGTACAGGATCTAACACCCAAATTAAGTAAGAAATGTAAGAGTGCCTTAGCTGCTGGACATAGGATGCTGTGCTTTAACTGGACAGAATTGGCTATCAGTCCTCAAATAAACCGTATTCTACAGACAGAACTGTTTACATCACAAAAGTGAAAATAGTCATGTTCATTTTCTGATCTGAGAGGTAAGAAAATGATTTCGACGAGAAAAAGTACCGTGGGCATACGTCATGTGTGATCATCGTCGGTAGAGAAAGTACCCGGACAATCAGTTTTTATTTCAGTCAGTTTAGAGCCACGCGTTGGTGTAAATGAGACTGGTGCAAAGAGCGAAAAATATCAGGCTACCAAAAAAGTGAGTAAAATTGGGACTTCCACAGCAGCCGGCAGCGCCATGGGGAAGACATGCAAATAATCCTACCTGACCTGTGTGAGGCATCAGACTTGATAAATCTCTACTGCTGCCCTTGTGGTTATGGAGTGAGAGACGATTCACTGTGAAGATTGCTTTCGGGGAGCTTTTGGGTGGGAAAAGGTATCGGGGAAAATAAATAGCCCCAGAAGTTTCCCTTCATCTAATGCCACTATAATAATGTGTGGTATAACTAAACGAAGAGAAACTTATAACGCTAATGCCTGCTTATTTCAGTGAATTCTACACTCATTGGTTCTGAAAGAAAATGAGTTTCCCAAACTAAGTATTGAACAGAGTAAGATAACTCCTGTCATAGAATCCCAACAGTGTGGAAACAGGCCCTTTGGCTCAACAAGTCCACACCGAGCCTTGGAGCATCCCACCCAGACCCATCCCCCTATAACCCACCCAATCTACACATCCCTGAACACTGCGGGCAATTTAGCATGGCCAATCCACCTAGCCTGCACATCTTTAGACTGTGGGAGGAAACCCGAGCACCCAGAGGAAATCCACGCAGACACAGGACAATGTGCAAACTCCACACAGACAGTCACCCGAGGGTGGAATCGAACCCGGGTCTCTCGCGCTAGTGCTAACCACTGAGCCACCGTGCTGCTTCGTTACCTCCATCCAAATGGATTGTACATCTTCCGATCCAAGATACTTCCTGCAATCATACGTATTCCACCTCAAATATCAAAGCTCCCCAACCACCCTTTTCTGAAATAAAGGCAAGTTGGACCATGGGCTGAGGATGGGGGAAGGGTGAGGGGTTCGTTGTTGATGGTTAAATATGTGGGAGGTCAGGTGGCCATAAAGGAGAAGGAAAAGGAGGAGGAGGAGTGGGCTTTGAGGCAAACAAAACGTCCAACTTCTGTTGAGGAGTCACACCATCCTCATGGGTCTGTTGGCTTCCTGTCAGCAACCCGGCTTTAATCCCTGGCCGAAAACTTCGAATCTTCCTCCAGCTCTCCTAGAAATAAGGAACAAAGGTGTCCCTTTAGGGAAACACGACAAGCAAACAGTCAAATTAGGGAACAGTCCTTCAAAATAAGGCACAGTTAGTGAACCGGTTTAAATGTTCTCTTCTTGCAGAAAGACTAACCACGTTGGCCTATTTGCTGAGCTCCTAGATTCCTCTGGGTGGCGATATACCATTACACACAGAAGAACTTTACTGAAGAAGAACAACTAAGATCAACTTAATTAGCCATCACATAAAGATGATGGGAAGGGTTTTGTGGTGCTGTGGTAGTGTGGACCCAGGAGGCCCAGGCTCACGTCCTTAGTTGTGGCAAAACATATCTGAACAGGTTGAATAGAAAATAAAGATAACAAAGTGTGGAGCTGGAGGAACACAGCAGGCCAGGCAGCATCAGGGGAACAGGAAAGCTAGCATTTCGGGTCGGGACCCTTCTTCAGAAAATAGTTCTTCTTAAAGATAAGATGGTGTGCTCTTATGGCACATTGGTAATGCCCTACTTCTGACCAGAAGGCTCAGGTTCATGTCGTATCTGATCCAGAAATCATAGAATTATAGAATTTGTACAGTGTAGAAGCAGGCCATTCGGCTCACTGAGTCCACACCAGCCCTCCGAAGAGTATCCCACCCAGACCTACACCCCTTCCCTATTCCTGTAACTCTGTATTTCCCGTGGCTAATTCACCCAACCTACACAACCCTGGACACTATGGGAATTTAGCATGGCCAATCCACCTAACCTGCAAATCCTTGTCAGAGCATATCTGAACAAGTTGACTATAAATAGGGGCTCTTATGGTAGTGTTCTTACCTCTGATCTGAGTTCATGTTCCACCTGTTCTTGGAGTGTGTTATAGTGCATATGAACAGGTTGATTAAAAATACCTATAAAGTTGATGGAGTTGTTGACTACTCATAGCAATCTATTTCTTTCAGGTAGACTAAAATAGATAGAAACATGGTGATATTTTGGAGCTGTAAGTTCAAAGTTTACTTAACCCTCAGGTATTCTCCATTCAGCAAATACTATGTTTCAGATTACTTTTATTTTGCATGTCAAAATGTTTCTTTTTGGAAAAAAAACCCATCTCACTTAGATTCAAATGAATCAATGACAGCAACTTCCTTTTACTCACTTATTGCCTGCTGTCAGCTTGCTTACTAAAATAAAGTGTTTCACAAGATTAGTTGTGAGACTATCCCCTTCAAACCTAATCCATGGCCTTTAGTTTTGCTGCTCTGCAGTATTTGAAATAGCCTGTCATTGTCAAGGTTTCCACATTTTATTAAAATGTTAATAATGGCAATTACATCAGTTCTCAAACTTCTCCATTCCGGTGAGAATTTACCTAACTTATTCAGTATCTCCTTCTAATCTAGTTGCTTCACCCACTCAATTATTTTGGTTCACCCTTCTTGCACTTTCTTTTTCCTGTTTACTCTTTCCTGTATCATGACTTGCTTTCTCTCTGTCCAACAGAATTGAACCTGTTGTATCAAAATCACTAATTATAGCCTTTGTGACTTCAATAGTGTGTTCTATTCCAACTTGTCATACGATCTTCTCCAAGATATTAAACAGAAATCACTACTCAATCCTTCATAATCATCTCTTATCTCTGGTTGATTTCCTTGATACCCTCCTCTTATTATTCCTTTCTCAACTGTCCCAAAGTATCAAACCTATCGACAATGGCCCTTTTCCCTCTCCTATGCATTCAATCATGATGCTCCCCTGCTTTTCATTCATGTGGCCTCCTCCATGGTTGTCCATAGCTGCTGAGGCGGCTTTTAATGCTTGAGGTTGTTTGAAGTGAGAGAACTCTTACCTCTGTACCAGAAGCATATGGATTTAAACCCCAGTTAAGGAGCTAAGAAAATAATTCATGCTGACACTTCACTGAAATAATGGGGAAGTGCCACTTCCCCAGGAAATATGATCTTACAGATTAAACATTAAACTAAGCCTTACCTCCTTTCATGGCTGAAAATATTTTGAGGCACTCTTCAAAAAGAAAAGAACCATTTAACAGCATCATAGTGAACATTGCTCCTTCAACCACGCCATTGAAAAGTAACATTCATGGCACAAAAGTGGCCAGGAAATAAGCATCTTCAATAATATTTGATTTGATTTGGTTTATTGTTATGTGTTCTTGGAGTGTGTTATAGTGCATATGAACAGGTTGATTAAAAATACCTATAAAGTTGATGGAGTTGTTGACTACTCATAGCAATCTATTTCTTTCAGGTAGACTAAAATAGATAGAAACGTGGTGATATTTTGGAGCTGTAAGTCCAAAGTTTACTTAACCCTCAGGTATTCTCCATTCAGCAAATACTATGTTTCAGATTACTTTTACTTTGCATGTCAAAATGTTTCTTTTTGGAAAAAAACCCATCTCACTTAGATTCAAATGAATCAATGACAGCAACTTCCTTTTACTCATTTATTGCCTGCTGTCAACTCACTTACTAAAATAAAGTGTTTCACAAGATTAGTTGTGAGACTATCCCCTTCAAACCTAATCCATGGCCTTTAGTTTTGCTGCTCTGCAGTATTTGAAATAGTCTGTCATTGTCAAGGTTTCCACATTTCATTAAAATGTTAATAATGGCAATTACATCAGTTCTCAAACTTCTCCATTCCGGTGAGAATTTACCTAATTTATTCAGTATCTCCTTCTAATCTAGGGCTTCACCCACTCAGTTATTTTGGTTCACCTTTCTTGCACTTTCTTTTTCCTGTTTACTCTTTCCTGTATCATGACTTGCTTTCTCTCTGTCCAACAGAATTGAACCTGTCGTATCAAAATCACTAATTATAGCCTTTGTGACTTCAATAGTGTGTTCTATTCCAACTTGTCATACTATCTAACCAATGTGAAAAGCTTTGTTTGCGAGCAGTACAAGCAAACAATAGTAAGCAGAGACATACAGATAACAGAGTGCTTAGACAGAGTGAGACATACAGGTTACACTGCACAGGAGGTGTGTGAGGCAAGATCAACATTAATAGGATCACCATTGTTTAAAGTTAGAGACTCCATTCATCAGTCTAATAACAGCAGGGAAGAAGCTATGCTTGAACATATTGATGCATGTGTTCAAGCTTTTGTATCTTCTGTCTGATGGAAGAGGTTGCAGGAGAGCATTCCTGGGAGTGGTGTTGGGGGGTGGGGGGTACTTTGATGAGGTTGCCAGCCTTTCCATGGAAATGAGAAGTATAAATAGAGTCCATGGGTGGAAGATTGGCTTCGGGGATGTTCTGGGCTGTGTACACAACCTTCAGTAGTTTCTTACAATTCTGGCCAGGTCATTATGCACGTGGACAGTACGCTTTCTGTATCTGTGTATCTGTGGTGTATCTGTAAAATTCGGTGAGGATCCTCATGGGCATGGAGAATTTCCTAAGCTGCCTGAGGAAAAAGAGGCATTGTTGTGCCTTCTTGACTGTTGCATCAATGTGGGAAGTCCAGGACAGGTTGTCGGTTATTGTTACTCCTAGGATCTTGACATTCTCAACCCTCCCAACCTCAGCTCTGTTGATCTAGATGGGGTTGTGTTCTCCTTTCTTTCTAAAGTCAACGATCAACTCTTTTATTTTGCCAACATTCAGGGAGAGGTTGTTCTCCTTGCACCACGACCACCAAGCCCTCTATCATCTTTCTGTATTCTGGCTTGTCGTTATTCGATATCCGTCCAACCACCGTGGTGTCGTCAGAAAACTTGTAAATGGCATTCATTCAGAATTTGGCTGCACAGTTGTGGGTGTACAGGGAGTAGTGTAGGGGGCTGAGAACGCATCCTTTGGGCACACCAATGTTGAGGGTTATTGTGGAGGAGGTGCAGTTGTCTATCTTCACTGATTTGTGGTCTATGCTGAGGATCCAGGTGCAGAGGGCAGAGCCGATACCTAGGCCTAGGAGTTTTGAGATCAGTCTGCAGGGCATTGTGGTGTTGAAGGCAGAGCTGTACTCAATGAGCAGGAGTCTGACATAGGTGTCCTTGCTATCCAGATGTTCCAGAGATGAGTGCAGGGCTAGGGAATTGGCATCCACTGGGGGCCTATTACATCAGTAGGCAAAGTGCAGGGTTTCGAGGCAGGCTGGGAGGCTAGAGTTGATGTGGGCCATGACCAGTCTCTTGAAGCACTTCATGATTATGGAGGTCAGAGCCACTGGGTGATAGTCATTAAGGCACATTGCATGTGCTTTCTTAGGCAGTGGGACGACAGTGGTCTTCTTGAAGCATTTGGAGGCTTTGACTTGTAGGAGGGAGGGGTTGAATATGTCAATGAATACCTATACCAGCTCGACCGCACAGGTTTTAAGTGCACAGCTGGAGAATTTGTCAGGACCTATCGCTTACCTTGAGTTGACTTTCAGGAAGACTGACCTGACATCTGCCGTGGTGACAGAGGTAACAGGTGTGTCCAGGGCTGTCGGGGCAGGTGACACCGCACCGCACCACTGGCATTCTGCTCAAATCGAGTGTAGAAAGCATCAAGTGCATCAGGAGGGATGTATTTTTGTCCAACAGAGTCTAATCACCTCCTCTTGATATTCAATTGCATTATCTTCAGCAAATACCTACCATCAAAATCCTGAGAGTTAATATTGACCAGAAATTTATCTGGACCGACCAAGTAAATAATATGGCTATGACTAGGTCAGAGAATGGGCACACTTCAGTGAATGACTCACCTCCTGACTTCCTGAGATCAGTCCAGCATCTCTAAAGTAGAAGCCCAGATTGTGATGGAATACCCTGCATTTTCTTCGATGAGTGCAGTTAGAGCAACACTCAAGAAGCTCAACATCACCCAGCAAAAAAAAATTAGCCTGGTGTATTTACACCCCATTCACCATATTCCACATTCACTCTCTCCACCACTATTGCTGCAATGTGTACCATCTAAAAGATACTCTGTCGCAATTTATCAAAGCTTCTATGTCAATATCTCTCAAACATGTGACCTGTACCAACAGCAACTGGCAAATGAGAATGCTACAAGCAATTTGCCCTCCAGGTCACACAACATCATGACTTGGAAATATATAAACTTTTTACCTTTACAGCTGTGGGAATCAGTTAGGCGTCCTTATAAATTAATGTCTAAACACTAAATTGGTCCCCATTTTGGACATATTTAAACTTCATCCACATATGATCCATTTGTGTTTGTCATCTTTTGACTCACATGCTGTCATTGTTTTATGCTTACCTACTCAAAGTTAAGATTTTTTTTTAAAGATAGGCATTGAAAGATTAATACTTAAGGCATAACACCAATCATTTTTTAACTATGAAACTGTTCTTACTTTATCTTTACACACCATTAGCAGTGTCATTAATGAAACCTTGTTCACTACTTTTTTTAAGGAAATCAACTAGCTCCTCCCTGGCCACTTTGCAATGCATAAGCTTTTTGACTATTGTTGCTGGAATTACCAAACAAACATGTAGATTTACAGGCAGAATCCACCATCTTCCACTATGTCAAATTGGCAATCCTAAGAAATATGATCAGAATTACTTCTAAAAATTTGTTTGACGTGTCTAACTACTGGGAGTGGGCCACTTGATGTCTGTAAAAAAGGTTTTCAATCTCTGCAGACAAACATCAAAAAGAATCAAATCCTAGCTCCACATGTAATAAGAATGAGTTTGGAGCAGAAACCGAGTTTTACAATATCTGAGGTTTATATATAATATGAAATTTATCTAAGGATGTGGTGAATACTTATGTGATGGAAATTTGAGTTACCCTCACTTGTGCTCAGATTAAGCACTTCTTTTTATCTATACTTGAATCGCCCATAGTGAACATTTTGTTCTCAATTCAACGTACGTTTTTGCTATGTTTACTGTAATCTGAGCGTTGATTTATTCTTCATACTAAGACTGTATAGAGAGCACACAATGACTTCTCTTTTTGCATCTTCTGGTCTCTGGATTTTTCTTGTCTGTCTCGCTAACTCTCTTCTGGTATCTTGTCTTCTCTTCTGGTTTTGAATTTTCTTCACCATGTGGCCTTACTCAAAAGAGTCTTTTTATTCTTGTTTCTTATCTAATTAACTCCTCCCTGTGCTATTGTACTTCATCTGAACAGTAGTAGCCTTATTTAATCATGCAGCATTCGCCTTTGTCCTTTATGCAGCTCCAACAACACTCAAGAGGCTCAAGACCAGTTGGATCAGTGTAGCCCAATTGACTGACACCTTGTCCATCATTTTCAGCATCCACTCCCTTCACCAGCAATGCACAGTGGTGGCAACCATCTATAAGATACACTACAACATCTGATCAAGAGATAGTAGGAACTGCAGATGCTGGAGAATCCGAGACAACAAGGTGCAGGGCTGGATGAACACAGCAGGCCAAGCAGCATCATAGGAGCAGAGAGGCTGACGTTTCGGGCCTAGACCCTTCATCAGAAAAGCTTTTCTGATGAAGGG